CTTTCCACGCACATAATGGGAAGAACACCCCCACGTATACCCGACTCAGTCCGTGAGACGACACACACACACACATACACATACACACACACACACGCACACACACACACACACATCCCTCCCCCTCGACACAGAGGTCATACTGTGTGTGTTCTTTAAGAAAATGCTTTTACATCAGAGTGCAAAGACAAAAAGGAAGTAGAAGACAGAGAGAAATGGAAGTTTACGATAAAATTTGTGGGTTGAACTTGGTCAGACTAAGTGCCTAAGGTCATCAAACAATGTGATGGAAGGGAGAGAGTTTACAGCCTACATCACCCACTGGGCGGCACCTGACCCTGATGTCTCAGCCGAGAAACATCACCACCACTCAGCCTGAGGTGCAGAAACATGCCCTCTCACCTTACGTCCAAATAAATGCATGCTTGTTATAATTACTGGGCCTGGGCATCTCTCCGGCTCTAAACTCAACCTCAGCTGCTTCAAATTATGGCTAATACACAGCAGAGAAACTCCCTGAATAAATAAACCTTCAAAAGACAAATCCAGCTCCACTTCGACTGCTATGAAGAGAACTACAGGAATCTGATGGCAGAATGAAATGGCATTGACTAATGATACACCATTCAATCACCCCCATGTACATCTGCTGGAGGGGACGGCACTTACAGATGCGAGTGTGTGTTTGTGTATAGCTAAATGATCACATGGTAGTCTGGGTTCCTGGAATAGCAGGTTAGCACTTTCATATGTTTTCTCACACTGAGGCTATGCTGCGAATCTCTGGCTGAAGAAAGCGAGCGAGGCAGAGCGAGGAGAGAGAAAAGTTTTGGTCTTGAGAGGCCGAAACCATGAATTGTCTCGCAGCACACCAAAAATCATTCTCCTTTTCAAGCAAAACCACAATTTGCAGTGTTGGAGACGAGAGTATGGTTGTACCTAACAGTAAACTAAAATAATACCTCTTCTATTTCTGCGGTATATTTGGCTGGGGGTTATGGGGTGGGGGGTGGGTGATTGCACAAAGAGTAAACAGATGACAAGCGCTACATTTCTGAAAACAATAAACAAAATATACATGAAATCAATAACTGATATACATCATTTTCTTAAGCTCACCAAGGCAGCATTTATTTGATCAAAAACACAGTAAAACAGTAATATTGTGAACTATTACCGTTTAAAATAACTTTTACTACTATTTTAATTTATTTTTAAAAAGTAATTTATTTATTCAGCAGCCATTACGCAAGTCTTCAGTGTCATATTATCCTTCAGAAATCATTCTAATATGCTATTGGTGCTCAAGAAACATTTCTTATTATCAGTTATGTCACAGAAAAGGCTATCCCACAATGCAATGTAAACAACCTTGTTCCGACTCCTTATTTGACCCAAACAGCCAAAAGTTAAGACATTTGTTCACCAAACTGAAATATAAATTGTAATTTAACCATTTTCATTTACAAGTTAATAACGGGATGCCACTAATTATACATGGAATGTAATGGGGTCATGTGACAATGACTCATTATACTTCCGTTTCAAATATTTAACTTAATATAATGTGTACCGTTTAATTATAAAAAAAACAAACAAACAGTTGTAGGCAACATGATGTATACAGAATACTGCACCTCCAGTGAATAGTAAGCTAGTATTCCATTCTGAACACAGACTTTGAGTGGGGAATCTGTAAGGTGTACGACTACGCTGGTCAAATCAGTATTCCTGTCCAATTCAGGCCGAGCTGTGAATAGTCTGATGTTTTGTGCGAGAGGGGCAGAGTCTGAGTACAGTTCAGAGGATTAAATACAAAAGATGAATACAGTGAGACGACAGATGGTGCTTGAGCCTGCCACATGCACTTCAAAAAAAAAAAATAAAAAAAAAGGCCCCAACCGCACACCGAGCCCCAAAAACACACATCCAGTGGGCCGGACAGAGTGTGGCCTTTAATTGACTGGCTGACAGCTATAGTACAGTAAAGACCAGGCGTGCGGCACATTCACCACATGCTGGACTAATTCATGGGCAAACACAAAACAGAGCGAGAGAGAGAAAAGGACGGAGGCAGGGAAGAGAGGGAGGGAGACACGGCCAAGCGACAGGCCACAGTAATTTATCCACTGTTTCTGTCTTCATGAAGAGAGGTCTTTCACGCTGAAACAGCCTGCAAGCCTGCACCTGGCCTTGCCAATTAAGACCAGAGTGCAAGCAATGCACACACACACACACACACACACACACACACACACGACACGCTTTTACTCAGTGGTATGCACACTTACCCACTCACATGCTTTCAGAATGAGTGAGAGAGAGAATGTGGCAGAAACTATGCAGAAATTCAGTAGCTTAAAGTATGGGGAGGCATTATAAAGAGGACACAGGAGCCCACTTCTAGTTCCTAGATAATTTTTTTAGATTCAAAACTGGTGTGTTGATAATACACGACGTTTGTGTTTGGTTCCTTCTTCTGCTTACATGGCATTAAGTGCACTCACTGCACTGTGCTACGTTTATGTCAACAACAGACTTTCTCTCTCTTTTGTGTATCATTAATGTGGCATTAATATATCATTGACTGGCCGAGGATTTTTAGTCAGTAAAGACGTTTAGTCTGTTTATTACAGTACAGTATGACTTCAGAAGACATGAAAAGTCTTATGGGCACTTTTAGGAAACGTGTGGACTTTTTAATGAGCTAAGCAATGTAGGCCTACTGGAAAAAATTAATTAGTTTTTTTCATCGAGGAGAAAAAAAGCTTCTGCTAAATTAATGCATGTAAATAATGTACAATACCACATAAATTTGGGGTCAGCAAGTTTTTTTAAAGAAATTAACAATTTTATTCAGCAATGACACATTAAATTGATCAAAAGTGAAGATGGTTACAATGTTACAAAATATTTCTATTTCAAATAAATGCTGCTCTCTATTCATCATAAAAATCCTGAAAACCGTTTTCATCATTAATAATAATACGAAATGTGTCTTGAGCAGCAAGTCAGCATATTAGAATAATTTCTGAAGGATCATATGACACTGAAGACTGGGAGTAGACTTGTGCCGGTATTCGGTAATGCCATATATCACGGTAATGGTCAAAATGCACAACACTGCTGTATGCTGCGTGAAAGACACGTGCGCACTCTGATGTAAATAAGCGCGGACGAAAAGCACATGGCGGAACATGTGAGAGACGCTCTGAATGAAAGCGCACTTTCACTCTCTGACAGCAGATGGCGCTAAACTTCAGAAATAATAATAATAATGATAATAATAATAATTCATTTAAATGCAGCTGTTACCCCGGAAACCCTGTAAACAAAGCAGCTGCACTACTTTCTGTTTCTGAATCGTGTTTAAAGGATTTAAATAGCCATTCAGATTTGTGTATTTGCTATGATGTTTATCACAGCACCAAATACTTAAATATTTAGACTTAATAGGCTATTTATTTTCAAACTTTTTTTTACATTTTAATCTGGACTACAACATGCACTAGATATTGTTTCACAAACATGAACTAAGACTTGTATTTTTTTTTTAAAAGATTAATAACTTCTGTAGCAAATGTAGCTATTGCTCATTGTGAATATGAATGCATTAACTAAGGTTAACTAATGAGGTCTTATTGTAATTTTTTAAAACAAAATTTCAATATCGTGATAATACCGTATACCGTGATAAAAGCATGAACAATTAATCGCAACATGAAAATTTGATACCGGCATATCCCTAACTGGGAGTAATGATGCTGAAAATTTAGCTTTGTCGTGACAGGAATAAATTATATTTAAGAATATATTAAAATAATAAACAGTTCTTTTAAAGGGGTCATATGATGCGATTTCAATTTTTCCTTTCTCTTTGGAGTGTTACAAGCTCTTGGTGCATAAAGAAGATCTGTAAAGTTGCAAAC